CTTCTCCTTCTCCTTCTCCTTCTCCTTCTCCTTCTCCTTCTCCTTCTCCTTCTCCTCCTTCTACACTGGAGATTGGATCTGGCATCTTCACAATGAACTCAGGATTTCATTAACTGTCAATTTTCGCCAGGCCGGGCTCAACTTTGTGAACCTCTGGCCTCAGTCTCCCAAAGTTCTGAGATTACAGTGGATTATAAGTAATAGGGGCCAGAATGGTCACTAAAAATTTCCCATCTCTAAATATCATAAGTACTGGGTCCTGAATATGAATTTAGTTCAATTTATATCAGTGTTTATTTGTGTGTGTGTTTTTATACTTCATTCAATATCCCACTTGTTAAAGTTGAAAAGAGGTAAGTAGTACATCCTGTGTATGTGTACACTGAGATGGTCCTTGTCAAAAGTAGCTGTGCCACCTGAGATAAAAATGCTAATACTAGAGAGCATAGTTTTATTCAAAACTATTTTTATCAACTTTGATTTATTTCTGTTTTTATGTAGTTTGAACACTTCTGAATTTATTACCAAGCAAAGAATAATACTTGGCAATACTTAGATCCAGCTCATTTCTTTGAAAGGTTATTCAAGAAGTGATAATATGAGATTGAGAAAATAGAGCTGGGAAAAAAAATAAACCCATATTAAGTGTGTAATGGTTTTTGGGCAAGTGGCTCAGTCCTTCCGCTGATCTCTTGAGAAATAATATAACAAGTGCTTCAGAACTGTTCCTCCAAAGATGGAGAGAACGGAATATTTTTCCACAGAGTACCATCCCCTGTGTTGAAAATTCTTTGCAAGGGTATTAATTCTCCAGGCTTGAAGTTCTGTGTCTGTGCTTACCTGATGGTGTTTCAAGTCCTCAGAGACAGCAGAGTAGGAAATCCTACAGCAGGAGGTTACAAAATACAGGGAACTGGCACCTGGCGTCAGGAGGGAAGAAGGAATGGTTTAGGGCAGTGCTGAGAACCCATGGTGCACCGGCCACCACCGGCTACTTGTTATCAGTAAAAGCTCTAAAATGTTTGCTATCGCTGGTTTAGGGTGCTGGAGGCAGACCTTTCTTATTTACACTAAGCAGTGCACACCTAGGCCTATGTTAGAATTATAAACTGAATAGGAATGCACTGTGGGATTCTGTCCTCTCCCAGCTGCAAAATTCTTCACTGTCTTTCTCACCTTCCATGCTAGGCTAACTTTCACTCACATAACTTTGTGATGGTCTATGGTCATACCACCCTGAATGCGCCCAATTTAGTCTGATCTCAGAACTAAGCAGGGTCGGGCCTGATAAGTACTTAGATGGGAGACACAACTTTATGATGTACATTCCATACATGGATGAAAATGGCAAGTGGTATTAACTGATACAAGCCATATTTCACTGACACGATGACACTATAGCCAAAGTCTTCAAAGAAGGGAAAGAGTCATGGATTCAATTAAGTGACACAAAAACAAATGGATGCTTAGACTGGTATTCAGAGGCTTATTTTTATTCCATCTAATCCTAATGAAGACAAGGACAGTGAGAAAGCAGAAGGGTGTATTCAAGGAAAATGCCTTTACCAATTTAACTACTTTGTGTTTGCATTTGTGGAACAGTGATTTATGTGGAACTTTCTGGGGTCCAACTATTGTTTCAGATATTAGAGACATTGTACTGTATAGCTTAGAACAAGTCAGAGAATATCACAATAGTTGAGAAAGTTTGACTACAGCAGATATGAGAAACATGGGACAGGTAAATTAATGGTGTAATTGCTGATAATGATAAGACCCGACAAAGAAACCAACAGGATGAAGAGTTACTGGGTAGGGTGAGATGGCTAGCAGGCTATAAATATGGCTGTAAGAAATGCCTTTTCAAAAGTTAACATATAAGCCAATTTCTTTAGGTAGAAAAAAGGACAATGTATTCTAAAACTCTAGATAAACCAGTTACATTACAGTCTAAATGAGTGCTTCCTGTGGTCTTATCCTGTGGAAAATGCATAGAAATATATATGCATAATACCCCTGATGGGACCAGGAAGACACAGGGAAGAGCATTCTGGACAAATAGAATAGTAAAGGTGAACAATCTGTGTTGGAAAATGGTAAGTTTAGAGCTAGAGAGTACCTATGCAGGGAGAATGAGTTGACAGATGAAGCAACCAATCATACAGAAACTTGTACACCAAGGAAAAAGAATAAGATGGTAAAAGAAAGGAAAAAAAGAAAAGGAGAAGGCAGGGAAATGGAGGAAAAAGATATGAAAAAGGAAGGAAAACTGAAAATAAAAACAATGTAGAAAAGTGAAGAACATTGTGTAAAGGATAAAAGTAAAACACCAGACTCATTTAGACAAAATTACTGAGACAAACTAAACAAAAATGTAAGAATTTAATGCTTCAAACAAGAAAATGCCCCAAAACCTTGGATACTTGAGTTTACGTTCAGAACACACAGAAATATAATCAGGAATGGGTACCTGATTAAAATATTGGAGATGCTTATTTGACTTTATTAAGACTTTAAAGCCAATTTCATCCTATAGTCCTTACAAAGACAAGTCTGGACAGACCACTTTACAAGATCTATAAAAAAGATCCCAATCTCCTGTATTATATTTTATTTACACAGAGTAACCCCAGGAGACAGATGTTTCTAAAGCATTCTTGTGTTGACTTAATTTCAAATATGTTTATTTAAAAATCTGAAGCAGTTCTACAGCTTGACAGGCATAAACAAGCTTTGCTCTGTTAGTCACATCATCTGTAAGATTGTCATTCTTTCTGTCTTTCTACTTGGCATTCATAACGTACAATACCAATTATTTACTTGTGGGGAAATTCCTGTGTTGTTTTGAAATGAATTATAACCAGTGATAAAATTTGACATGCATGTAATTTAACGTCTAAAGGCATTAGAGTTCTCGGATATGTTTTCTATCTGTAGGAGTGATAGGGACAAGATGAAGACTTAATTTAGTTCTCACCCATCTGAAAGGTATCAACCTTTGTTCTTGCATTACAAATTTTGACTTCATTCTTAAATTTCTTTGTGGATAAATATTAAGAAAAGGTAACTTTGCCTGAAGTCTGGTATGTTTGCTCATTGAGTGACTTGTGTTTAACCCTCAGAATGCTGGAGGGTTTACCTCCCCACACACTCAGGGGCAGCACCTAATAGCATGCCAGAAAGCACAGGGCATGGCAGTAGATGTTTCCAAGAGTCTCTAGGTTTGATCACGGCGGTCTTGGTTATAAAAGAGCAGAAAATCCAAGTCAAGTGTCTAGTGCGATAAAGGTTAAGACATGCAGAGAGAATTGCCTGACCCCATGTTCATCACTGGTGTGACAGAATGGAGCATCACGGTGCCTTGCACAGACTGGGTGCAGTAGAGCTTTGTGCTAGCAGCTCAGCCTTCTCTCCCAGCAGGTACACCTGTGTTGAGTTAAAGACGGAAAGTGTCTCTTTAAAAATCTGTTATTGCTCAGCCACATCGGAAAGTGAAACCCCAAATGCTATACAGCATGCTGTCTCCACCCATTTCTACCACACGCATTTGGTTCCATGATTTGTTTAGCGTTTTTTTTCTTGCACACACTTTGCATCAGGCATTATAAAAAAGAATATAGACAAATACAGAAGGAATGTCTATGATGCCCTGTGACCAGCATGAGGTTCTATGACATCAGACTGGTTGTGTTTGCCCCCAGTGATCTTAATTCTTTATAAGTATTGTAGGCCTAAGGGTCCCACAAGAGCATTATGAGTACTTTCTTCATTGCAACATTAGGAAATGAAACGTACAAAACCTCATGGGAATCCTGAAGACTTGAACTTAGGTGATATGGCCTGGTTAGTTGTAAAGAGAAAAACTTCATGTTAAAAAAAAATAGAAAGGCTTATACATGATTTTGGCAAAGTGCTGTGGCTATTAGAATAACTTTGATTTGCAACGTTTGAAATAAATTTTGTAGTTTGAAGTATTAGTTTTTGCAAAAAGAATCATCTCCATAAAATACCGTCATGAATAATGAGTTATCGGGCACTTGTTTTTTAAACAAAAAGTATACACTCTCCCCAGTGGAAATGAGCTGTGTGGAGCGTGAATCCTTCAGGGGATGCTGCTGGTAAGGTGCACTACAATCAAAACTTCATTTGATTCCCAAGATTGAACTTCCTTATACAAATACTGATATACCTACAGCTGTAACTATGCACACATATTTATCAATCAATAATAATATATATCTTCAGAGGCCTACAAATTGGACCTGGACATAAAAATGAAAGTATTTATTGAAAAAATATATATGTCTATGTGTGTGGAGATACACACATATAAACGTACTTGCCTGTATGTAGGTATACGTGGGTGCATACACACAAACACTCAGAGTCAGGTTTCCTTCCATGCCAGGGATTTAGGTCATGGCACAGTGACTCTGACTCTGGCTTTTTGCTTTCAACTTCTAGATTCATCCACATCACCACCTGCCCCACATATGTATACGGTCAACCCTAATATGCTGATTATTCTAATAAACCTGTCTTACCTGGGATTGCATGACTGAATCTTGACTGATTTTTGAGTGAACTGTGGATACAAAGTAACGTCCACTCTGGATGCTTTCTAGGTGATGTGTAAGAAAGGCATATATTTAGACTGTCCAAGACAACTAAGAGGACTATCATGAGCAGGTAGAAGGAAATGGACAGGCTGAACATATATCTCCTTTTTCTATACTTTTAAAAAATATTTTTAATTCACATACAATATTTACGATCCCGCAATCCCACTACCAGGTATATATTGAAAAGAAATGAAATAATTATATCCAAGTGATGCTGCACATCCATGTTTATTGCTGCACAAGAGCTAAGATATGGAATCAGTTAAGATGTTTATGAACAGATAAATTGTAAAAATATGATACATGCCAGAAGTGGTGCACACCTGTAATCCTAGCTACTGGAGAGGCTGAGGGGTAAGGACTGAAAATTTGTAGCTAGCCTGGGCAACATGGTGAGGCACTGTTTCAAAATAGTTTAAAAAGGGCTGAGAACATATCTCAGTGATACAAATTCTGCATAGTATATGCAGGACACTGGGTTCCCTTACCAAAAATGCAACAGACACACATGTGCACATGTATGCACACAAATATTCTGGTGTATATACATTCAACATGCAACTTTTCAGAAGTAAACTGAGAGGACTGATGAAGTATTCAATTATTTTATGAGTTTTCCCCTACAGACTACATTCCTAGAACGTTTTCTAAAAATGTACAGCTCTGACAATATCAGCCAATCATTATCTGCATGGAAGTTTTCCCTTTACTTAAAACAGGTGGCATATGGATTTTTGAAGTTCCCTATGCTCCTTATGAATTTAAACGTTGCTCATTTTATTCCTCTACAACATATGGCCAGTTTCTCTTCATGAACTCTTGACAAAATGCTTAATAAACAATGTCTGTCTTCTGTGATGTTGTTCTTGTTAAAAAGTTTCATAGAAGAATGGAAAGAATATTATTCTTTGAGGCAGAATTGCGGAGTAAAATTAAAGTACCATTGAATAAAGCAGTCACATTGGACCTTTCTGAATCTATACCAGTGAGGATAAAAACATCTGTTCTGCCCCACCCTAGAGATTTTATGAGGGTCACACCGGGACAATAGCTCTTGCCTTTTGGCTCTAACTTCATGTAAAGCTCACACCTCACTTTATTCTGCCTTCTATTTTAACTTCGTGTGTCATTTGTGTGTTTTTCTTCTCTATGAGGTCATTAATTCCTGAAGGACTAGTAATGTGCCTGATTTATCCTTCCATCTCCCACAGCTTGAGCTCAGCATGCACTGGTACGCAGTAAAATTGTTTGTTAAGCAATGTATAGATGTTTCATAGATTTGATGTGAATGCCAACAT